TTTTCTTTTGATATAATGCCTTTTATTATATTTCTATAAAATATTGCTTAATATGATAAATGCCTCTAATAAAATTCTATACTACACAAAACTGAGAGAAACCAAAGCAGATAGATTCACTCATCCCTAAGAAGGATAATACTTCTACAGTGGTACCTCAGGTTACATATGCTTCAGGTTACATACGCTTCAGGTTACAGACTCCGCTAACCAAGAAATAGTGCTTCAGGTTAAGAACTTTGCTTCAGGTTGAGAACAGAAATCGTGCTCCAGCCGCGTGGCAGCAGCAGGAGGCCCCATTAGCTAAAGTGGTGCTTCACGTTAAGAACAGTTTCAGGTTAAGTACGGACCTCCGGACCAAATTAAGTACTTAACCCAAGGTACCACTGTATTTGAAACTAAATTGTCACAAAGAACTGAGCAAGCATTTGTGATCTCCAGAATTCTTCTTGAAGCTGATTTGTAAGCAAAACAATATGCCTGCAACTTTTTACAGGGCTTCAGATTTGTGGTTTGGATTTGCATCTACCGGTATTTCTTCTGATAATAGCACTGCATTTCCTGTATGAAACTTTTTATTCTTTCCAGCAGGGGGAAGCAAGGCACAGCCAAACTGCACACCCTTAAAATATGTACAGATTGGTTGGCATTTCAAGGAACCGTGACTTATGGAATTTAATAACTTCATAGTTTTCTTATCAGAATAAGAAATCTTGCTTTGCTCCGAAAGGATGCGCTCCCCACTGAATACCACAAATTCTCCACATTAAACCTCTTCTGACCAGGGTATTTGAAGGGGTGAGTGCCTGGAACCCCCAGGGATCTTGCTATGGCTTGGCAGAGAGTGGGGGTGGAACCCAACTTTTGTAACAATATCAATACATCTTCTTGTCTTCCTACCAGGAGGGAACAGGGCAACTGAGTTCAAGGAAGGAGTTGCAAGAACAGAGCAACTGAGTTCAAAGGAGCTCATATCCCAGGTGACTGTGCATAGAATTACTGTCAAATTTGATTTTTATGAATTGCAACATGGACGGATATGGCTGGCACTTCCTGGGCTAATGTGTGGAACAGAGTGTTGTTTCCCATGCACATTCACCATTCCTGAATCTTCTGGTACAATTCTTGGATCAAAATGCATCCAGATGCAGTTTTTGAAATGCATATTTGAAGAGAAAATAAAATTAATGTGAAATCCTACATTTACCTGGAAGGAAGTCCCACTCTGAACTGACAGTTAAGGCGAAAACATCATACAGTTAAGGCACTCTTATAACACTTCAACATGCATGGCTCCACCAAAGAATCCTGGAAACTGTGGTTTGTTAATTTTCTTTACAGATTTTTTGGGGGGCGGATACAAGGATTGAGATTTTGACTTAGGCCCTGACTGCCTGAAAGATTATATCTCCAGCTCAGGTGAGCACTTTTTCTCAGTCCGATCAACAGCAGAAGCACAGTTGGTGGTATCAAGAGAGAGCCTTTTCTGTGGCTGCTCCTCTGTAGTGGAATTTCCTCCCGAGAGAGGCTGGATGGGCTCTGTTAAGTTGTGGGTGAACATATCAGATGACACAGCGATTCTTCAAACAGCTCTTGTTTATTCAGAGGCCAGAACACAACTGAGGTTCAGTCAGCCTGCCTATATAGAGCTCCAGTACAACGTAATTGTAACAATTTTCTAAAACTATCCAATCACTGAACGTCACTTTCGATCCCTTATTTGCATAACTTTCTACAGTATCCCCCTGCTGGCCCAGGGTGAGAACTTCAGTACATAACAGGCTCCCTCTTTGTTATCCTTCTGAATGTTCCTGTTCAAACAGGCCTTTGAAAACGAAGGTGCAGACGAGTATCTTGACAAGTCAAGGGGGTTCTTTTTCAGGGATTCGCAAGCAAACATGAAACACAAGGGATGAAGACCCTCCGTGCAGCTGCAGGGGAGTCCCAGAGATAAAGACCAGCTTCCTCAGGTCTGCATCAAAGCTCAACCTCTGGGTCAAGTGCTAGGTGTGATGGCTTAAATACTTACATCTGACCCCAGGGGTCTCATGGTGGCTGAGCCTGTCTGATGCCCAGGGCAGCAGTCCCAGGTTGGTTGGAAGGCACAGGGCATCCTGGGCATGACAGCGCAAATTTGGCAAGCCCCCAGCTGGCTTAGCCCTCCGAGGCCCAAGGCAAGATCTGGGCGGGCTGGTAAACAAAGTAATTAACTTGGGATCCTCCCCCTGCACTACTGCTGTGTTATCTCTGAACAGGGAACACTTCCATAAATTAGGAAATTTGGCCTTGAAGGCAAATGAAGTCAGCATGGTGCAGCCTTAAACCACAATCTGGCTTGGGAGAGCGGTGAAGCCTTGCTCCTCTGCCAAGCCGCCTATGATGGTGATATGAAGGGCCAGTTGTGCCAGGTAACCAGGACTTCCTTGAGATAACAATACTGTCTTTCATTGTTTCTACTGCACTCCACCCCTTGGCATTACACAATCTCCTCTTCACATCTTTCTAATCCCTCCCCTTCTCCACTTGCCCAGAGATGACTTGCAGCCTTGAATACAATTGCTTAATTCTGATACACAAGAGACACGCGAATATGAGCAAAATTAGAATAAGATTCAAAATCAGAGCGACTGGATACGGTGAGAAATTCACAACGTTAGTCATTGTTGGGCTCCATCCTGGAAAAAACACGTCCCACCAAATGATGGGTGGTCAAATCTTCTATGTCTTGAGTGATCCTGACTAATTCAGCTCACTCGGGTCAAATTTGTAGCATCGTGCCTTTGTCATTTTTGGATAAGGCTTTCAGCTGTGCCTATGCTCTTTCCGATAGCATCTACATATTAAGTCCCATTGGGAAGGTAAAAATTCAGTCTTTAGCTTCCCTTCTTAAGGTTTTAGTTTCATACTCAACTGCCGTATAATATCCAGTGTGAATGCAAATGTTGGTGGCATTAGATAGACATTCTCTTATAGGTGGCCCCATCTTCCTCATAAACCTGATCCAGTGATCCCACGCAGAGCCACCCTCTACAGTTATATCAGGGGCATTGTTACCTAGTTGCACCCATACGCAGGTGGCGCTATTGCAGTTACAAGCAAGTGGATCAAAAGGAGCGATGTGCATTGGACAGAACCATTTCTGGAACCCCCATTGCTCACACCTGGCAGTCATAAGAAAGGCGATTGATTCACATATGGGACAGCGGCATACTCCTGCATTGCAGGGGGTTGGGCATTCTACATCCTGGTGAAGTATGTTAGGTTCTTGTAATATTTGCTTTACACTTAAACGATTGCTCCGTCCTCTTCACTCCTCTCTGTGTTCTGAGAGACCAGGAAGGATGGAAGCTGGTTGGAGCAGGAGGGGGAGACTTACGGATTCTTGAGCAGCCTGCCTCATCTCTGTCTCCTGGGCCTGAGCCTCCTCTCCTGCCTCTGAGTATGGACTGCCCTCTGCCACAGCCTCCTCCTGCTCACTAAACCCTGTTGCCTCTTCAGCTTCCGACACCTCCTCCTCCCAGTCTGCTCCCTCGTCTTCCTCTGATCACTCGTTGACATCCCACCACCATCCCCCTGGCTCTGAGCCTTCTTCCCTTGGGGGTTCCCCAGCTGGGGTCTCAAACCACTCTTCTGCATCCAGCCAGCCCATGACACTTTACCATCCCTCCTAACACCTTGATGCCCTTAAGGGCCAGGCCAGATCTGGGTGTGATCCTTCCATAGGTACCATGTGGAACCTTGACCTTCATGCCCAGAGGCACTGTCACTTGTCCTCCGGCAGCTGCCCTCACTACCGCCTCTGACGCTATGAGATCAGCCCCCACACCACCCCTGACAGGTCACATATAATGGTGACTTGCAGGACCAATTGTGCCAGGCGACTAGACCGCCTCAAGACACCAATATGCTGATCACTGATCTGCTGTCAGACCACACGGTACCATAGCTGTCAACCGTCCCTTATTTGGCGGGAAAGTCCCTTATCCCAGCGCTGTGTCCCGCTGCTGTCCCTTGTTGATGATGTCCCTTAAATTTCCCGGGTTTCAAAGGAAGCAGCTCCTCTCCTTCCCTGCCGGCCAGGGAGGAGGGAGGCTCCAACTGTGTTGCTTGGCTGCGTTGCTCACCCAATAAGGCGTCTAAGAACGACTGGGGGGTGGAGCTTGCATGCCTTGTGCCGATCAAATCGGCTGCGTTGCCTGGGGACTTGCCTTTGCTCAGCGCTTCCCAGCGGAGAGGTGACGGTGGTTTTCCTTGCTGCATCCCCTTTGCTGGGTTGCTGCGCTGTGGGAACCACCGCTTGAGGCTTCATTTGGCTGCTGGCTGGGCTTTCTGCCTTTGGCTCGGAGGGGCTCAGAAGTTGAACATACCTGTGCCCAGAAAATCCCTTATTTTGGCTGTTGATCCCTTATTTTCGAGGCTGCTGGTCCCTTACTTTCAAATCTGTAAGTTGACAGCTATGCACAGTACTTTAATTGCTGGTTCAAAGTGTGTTCTGATATATTTTCACTATTGTTTTTAATTACCGCAGTTTGCTTTTATCACTTTGCGGTTTACCGTGATGTTTTTAAATGTTGGAAGCCACCTTGAATCCCAGCTAAGCAGGATTTTAATGCGTTAAATAAATACATGTTTATCAGTAGGCCCCAAGCAATTCACATCTTACTTTAATTTAAAAGATAGAGGATTCTGGGCGGAGGACACTACAAAATTTACCACAGAGACATTTTAGGTCAACCAGGAAAAGCTTTATTAAGCTGGCAGTTGGGTCATTTTTTGGAAATTTCATGAGGTGTTAAACACTTCTGGTTTGACCAACCTTTTGCAGAGGCAGATTTGAAAGGTACGTTCTCTCCCCCCCCCCAATTGCTTCATTCCACACCTAAGGGTAGCAGGATGTGATCTTAAAAGAAGCATATTTGCTGCCCCAGCCTTGTAGAACAACATCCAACATCCCTGTTGAGATGTAGCAGGTGCTCAGTATTTGAACTTTTTGGAAACAATTGAGGGATAGCTCAGTTGGTAAAGCATGCGAATATTAATCTCAGGGTTGTGGGTTTGAACCCCATGCTGGGTGAAAGATTCCTGTCTTTCAGGGGGTTGGACTAGATGATCTATGTGGTCCCTTACAATTCTATGTTCTGTGAAGAACTTTTTGCTGTGGCAAATGGGGGGGTGGGATCTACACACACACACACACATATATATGGTCCCCTAATAATAATAATAACAATAATTCCAACATTTAGAAAGCTCCAAGCAAGCAGGACACAGAAGGCCAAAACCTTAAAACATGAGAAAGGTGTGTCAGTGCTGAGCTGTTGGCTGCCAACTGAGCTGGGCCAGAGGTCAGGGCCAAGGAGTGAAGCAAGACTGAAGGGCAAATCGAAAGCTAGGATTCAGAAACTATCAACAGCTAAAGGGCCGCAGCAGAGCTCAGGAATCCATGTTGGTCAAGCAAGGTTTCAATAGAACAGGAAGCCTTTTATACTCCTTCCTGCCCAAGACCATCCAATGGCCAGCCTGGGTGAATGGAGTCAGTCCGGGCTTTGAAGGCACTTCATTGAAAATCTGCTATGTCCAGTTCAGCAGATCGTCACACGGGGCAGCTCTCTGCAGATCCTAGTGGCTCCTGACATTCAGGTCCCCTTCAAGACCAATAACGTTATTGCTAGTAGTTTGAACGCTGCTTTCCAGAAAGTAAAAAAGAGAAAAGTCAAAGCTACCATGTGGGATAAAGATTGGCCAGATCAGGGGTAGCCAATCCAGTGTTCGCCAGATGTTTTGGACTACAATTCCCATCATCCCCAGGCAGCATGGCTGGGCAGGGCACTGCATTGGCTTCTCTTGGGGTTGATTATGACATGCTCTCCAGTACTGTGCTGAGATGGGCTGGTAGATAATATGACTCAGTTTGTGGTACAAGACGCCCGTGTCGGAGAGACTTGAGGGTTTCCTCTGTATACTTGCTGAGGAAAAATATCTCGGTAGGTATGGTGAAATGTAGCTCAGCAGTAAACAAGGTCATGGCAGTGGTAGATAACCTACTTTCCGTGTACAGTGGTACCTCTAGTTACGAACTTAATTTGTTCTGGAGGTCCATTCTTAACCTGAAACTGCTCTTAACCTGAGGTACCACTTTAGCTGCTGATGTGCTGCCGCCATGCGATTTCTGTTCTCATCCTGAGGTAAAGTTCTTAACCCAAGGTACTACTTCCGAAGTCTGTAACCCAAAGTGTTTGTAACCTGAGGTGTTTGTAACCCAAGGTACCACTGTACAAGGTTCTGTCTGACCCTACTGGGAAATACTCCCAGGACACAAGATGGAACAATGGTCTCACTTGCTATGAAGGTCATTGGTGCTTTATTCCAAAAAGCGGACAGTTGCCCAGATGAGATGAATTGCCCCACCTCTGTTTCCCATACTGTTTCATAAACCTCAATTTTGCCGCAAGATGATGTACTCAATATGCATTAAATGTCCAAGAGCATATCTGATGCAAGGAAGACGCGATGAGATGCGTGGGATTTGTGAGTGCCTGGCAACTGCTATCGCCTGAGCCGTCTTGGATGTTATGATCTTTGACCTGAAAGTACCAATGAATACTGAATAGTGAGAGGAAAATGTCCTGCCAAACCATATTCTTCTACCACTTGGGTCATTCTGAAACACCATTCAGTTGGAAGAGAGGCAGTATTACTGCGTATGACTGATTGTCACTTACGGATGTCACCAGGTAAGGAAAGATAAAATGTCACTACAATTAACTTACATTATTTACTAGAAGGCACACTTTCCCTTTTGATGAGCTGCAGCAGCACAATTTCACAACTCCTTCTTTAAGTATATAAAGCTTATAGGAGTCTTGTATGCTGTCATCCACACAGCACCAAAACGAGCTGGGGAAATCTTTTGCTTTACAAATTCAGCTCATATCCACAGGATATAGACTTCCATCGAAAGCATTAAGATAAATGGGAAATGCTCTGGAAGGCCTGCAAACGCCATCTTGGTAGTCAAGGTAGCCAAGGTAACCCCATAACTAATTGGTAGTTGTTGCAAGAATGACCTCACATATGCATATGCAGTTGCTAATTGGCTGGCTTTGATGCTGTGCTTATCTCTGGGGCCAGGGATACTGGGCTCTGGGCCCAGACATTGGTGCTATCTGTAAGCCTTGGCTAGTTGCCACCTGTGCCCTCGTGGGTCAGGTAGATTGATGGGAAGTTCTGGCCAACCTGACGAAGGCTGATTTTTGAATGGATAATGCGTATACATTTGCCTGGGTGTGGACAAAGTCATGACAATTGCTTGCTTGTTTATCCTCAGGAGGCTCGGCACACTGAGTTGTAAGTTTACGCCTTTCTTTAATAAAGCACTAGAATGGGTCACTCTGACGTTTTTGACATCCTTCTTTGGCACCCAGCCTCTCCCACGAGCCATCCTTTGGGTCTGCGGTTAAGAACACCAAGCAAGCGTTAACACAATAGCACATCTCGGGGGGAGCAGGGGGGGTTGCCGAGAAACAGCTTCTTGCCCTGAGGAACTGGCGCAAGCTTCTTGTTTCTTTTGCGAGTCTGAAACTGAAATAGTACTGAAATAGCCCTTTCCAAAATAGCATTCTTGCCTCATTTTCCTATGATGTGACCTCTAGCAGCATAAGCTGCCTGAAAAAGGATGGCTTCCCATTTCTGCTTTAAATTCTCACAACCACACCCCAATCTGGAGTTTCTTTCAATGCAATGATATATTCGCTATATTTCTGTACCTCTTGATTGCAATAAAACCCCAAAGTGCCTTACAAAGAGAATATATATCAGTAAAGGGTGGCTAAAAACAAGTATTTCAAACGTTCAGAAAATTTACTTACATTGACAATACAGTGGTACCTCAGGTTTCATATGTTTCAGGTTACATACGTTTCAGGTTACAGACTCTGCTAACCCATAAATAGTACCTCAGTTTAAGAACTTTGCTTCAGGATGAGAACAGAAATCGTGCTCCGGCGGTGCGGCAGCAGCAGGAGGCCCCATTAGCTAAAGTGGTGCTTCAGGTTAAGAACAGTTTCAGGTTAAGAACGGACCTCCGGAACGAATTAAGTACTTAACCCGAGGTACCACTGTAAGCTAAAACCAGATTAGAACACACTGTAGCTTCTACATGCCTGGTTAGGCTTGCCTAAACAAAATTGTTTTTAGCAGTCACCGAAAATAGTGAAAACAGTGAAGGCACCCGCCTGGTGTCTATAGGCAGGGAGTTCCGAAGGCTGGGTGTTGCTACACTAAAAAAGTGATTTGCTGCATGTGTGGAACACAGAGATTTGGGGGGGGGTTACTTTGCTGCAGTTTCCTCTTTTCCCAGTTGTATTTCTACCTAGAATCATAGAATCATAGAGTTGGAAGAGACCACAAGGGCCATCGAGTCCAACCCCCTGCCAAGCAGGAAACACCATCAGAGCACTCCTGACATATGGTTGTCAAGCCTCTGCTTAAAGACCTCCAAAGAAGCAGACTCCACCACACTCCTTGGCAGCAAATTCCACTGTCGAACAGCTCTTACTGTCAGGAAGTTCTTCCTAATGTTTAGGTGGAATCTTCTTTCTTGTAGTTTGGATCCATTGCTCCGTGTCCGCTTCTCTGGAGCAGCAGAAAACAACCTTTCTCCCTCCTCTATGTGACATCCTTTTATATATTTGAACATGGCTATCATATCACCCCTTAACCTCCTCTTCTCCAGGCTAAACATGCCCAGCTCCCTTAGCCGTTCCTCATAAGGCATCGTTTCCAGGCCTTTGACCATTTTGGTTGCCCTCCTCTGGACACGTTCCAGTTTGTCAGTGTCCTTCTTGAACTGTGGTGCCCAGAACTGGACACAGTACTCCAGGTGAGGTCTGACCAGAGCAGAATACAGTGGCACTATTACTTCCCTTGATCTAGATGCTATACTCCTATTGATGCAGCCCAGAATTGCATTGGCTTTTAGCTGCCGCGTCACACTGTTGGCTCATGTCAAGTTTGTGGTCAACCAAGACTCCTAGATCCTTTTCACATGTACTGCTCTCAAGCCAGGTGTCCCCATCTTGTATTTGTGCCTCTCATTTTTTTGCCCAAGTGCAATACTTTACATTTCTCCCTGTTAAAATTCATCTTGTTTGTTTTGGCCCAGTTCTCTAATCTGTCAAGGTCGTTTTGAAGTGTGATCCTGTCCTCTGGGGTGTTAGCCACCCCTCCCAGTTTGGTGTCATCTGCAAATTTGATCAGGATGCCCTTGAGTCCATCATCCAAGTCGTTGATAAAGATGTTGAATAAGACCGGGCCCAAGACAGAACCCTGTGGCACCCCACTAGTCACTCTTCTCCAGGATGAAGAGGAACCATTGATGAGCACCCTTTGGCTTCGGTCAGTCAGCCAGTTACAAATGCACTGAGTGGTAGCATAGTCAAGACCGCATTTTACCAGCTTCTTTACAAGAATATCATGAGGCACCTTGTCAAATGCCTTGCTGAAATCAAGGTAGGCTACATCCACTGCATTCCCTTCCCTTTCAGACATTGGGGTGGGGGGGATCCTTGCCCAAAGTTCCTCATTCAAACAGCCACTTCAAAATTGTGTGATTGTAATGCTTTGAAATCCAGGATGATTATTTCCTATCATTCTATATTGTATAAGAGAGGAGATGACACAGGAAAATATCTTCTGGGAAATAGCAACCTTACCTTACTTTACGTTACGTACCTTACTTTGACCCTTACCTTTCCCCCAGTCTTAAGTCCATCTCACCATACCTTCTGCATCAGTTTGCAGGTTTTTTTTAAAAGTCCCCATAAAAATCCATCAGCGTTTGAATGTACATTTCCAATATACGCAATCTTGCCTAATGCACACATTTCTGCAAGCAATTTCCCCTGACATGCCCTGTTGTATGTTATCTTCCCCAACTATGCTTTTAACTGACACTTTCCTGTAATATGGCCATTTTTATTTGCATCTTTGGTTGGATGCTATTTTTCTTATTTAACATAAGGCAACGTTGCTCAGTTTGTTAAGCCCAGAAAAAGAGCCATAGAGACTGGATTACACA